ATCATACTAAATATTTTCGATTCGCTGATTTCAATAGGGTTTATCCTTGGGTGATTACGAACACTCATACCAAGTTTCGTTAAAATCCATCAAGAATTCTGCCTTCTAGAGTGTTTACGAGCTAAAAATTGAACGCGTTTTCAAGAACAAGGGCAATAATTCATACTTAATATTTTTCGATTTCGCTGATTTTCAATAGGGTCTATCCTTAGGTGATTGCGAACACACATACTAAGTTTCGTTAAAATCCGTCAAGAATTGTGCCCTGTAGAGTGTTTACGAGCAATTGTGGACGGACCGACGGACATGGGTGACGACAATATACGCCCCCCATTTCATGTGGGCGTATAAAAAAACGTTCATCAGAAATGCATCAAGTTAAAACTTGTCTGAGATCTTATCAATTCCAATGATCACACCAAGTTTCATCAGAATCGGTTGAAAACTGTAGCTTCAATCCTGCTCACGAACTATTTTTAACAAATTTCAACACGTTTTAAAAAAGTCAAGGGCAATAACTCAAAAACTGTTCATTGAAAATGCGTCAAGTTAGAACTTGTCCGAGATCTTATCAGTTCCAATGATCACACCAAGTTTCATCAGAATCGGTTGAAAACTGTAGCTTCAATCCTGTTCACAAACTACTTTTAACAAATTTTGACGTGTTTTTGCAAAGTCAAGGGCAATAACTCAAAGACCGTTCATCGAAAATGCGTCAAGTTAGAACTTGTCCGAGATGTTATCAATTCCAATGATCACACCAAGTTTCATCAGAATCGGTTGAAAACTGTAGCTTCAATCCTGCTCACGAACTATTTTCAACAAATTTCAACACGTTTTACAAAGTCAAGGGCAATAACTCAAAAACTGTTCATCGAAAATGCGTCAAGTTATAACTTGTCCGAGATCTTATCAATTCCAATGATTACACCAAGTTTCATCAGGATCGGTTGAAAACTGTAGCTTCAATCCTGCTCACGAACAATTTTTAACAAATTTTAAGGCATTCTAAGTCAAGGGCAATATCTCAAAGATAGCTTGCGTTGCAAGGTAACATACGCCCACTGGCAGCTGTCAGAAAAAATAAAACAGTCTTTAGTGACTAAAGTACGAATTTTCTCATATTGAAGAAATTATTTATGCTGAATAATTCCACAAAATTTTTTAAAATCAATATCAATAACCCAAGTACAACAAACAATTAAATCACACAGCTCTAATCAAGGGCAAAAAAAAACTTTGGATGCGTGTTTACAAAGTCAAGGGCAATAACTCAAAAAATGTTCATCAAAAATATCCGAGATATTATCAATTCCAATGATCACACCAAGTTTCATCAGAATCGGATGAAAACTGTAGTGTCAATCCTGCTCACGAACAATTTTTAACAAATTTCAAGACGTTCAAAGTCAAGGGCAATATCTCAAAAACCGTTCATCGAAAATATGTCAAATTCTAACTTGACCGAGATCTTATCAATCTAAAGCATCACATCAAGTTTTATCAAAATCAGATAAAAACTGTAGTCTTTATAGTGCTCACAAGAAATGTTGACGGACGGACTGACGCGACGACAATATACGACCACAAATTCATGTGGGCGCATAAAAATGCAATATCAAGGCAGCTTACCTTGACAACAACATCAAGTATATTTTAAATTGAATGATTTGG